CCTGGCTTCATCTTCAGCATCCCCCCCTCCCCCCCCGAGCGATATTCCTGTGTCCCCTCCGTGGGCTGGAGCAGACGGGTCCTTTGCATCCCTCTGCTGAGAGCTGTGGGCTCCAGCAGCGAAGGGCGTTTTGGTCTCATGCTCACGAAACTGGGGTGTGGGGGGAGGGGAGGATTGTCTTGCTGACATGGGAGGGGCAGATGCAGCTTTGTCTCCTCCCCCAAGAGAGCCTCTCCAGGCAGTCGCTCAGTCACACGGGGCCTGTTGTATTTGGGGTTCCTGCTTTGTCGCCTTCCCTCAAAATACAAGAGGGAAGCTCCTCAAATGTGAATAGTAATAGAGATGTAGCTGTGTTGGTCTGGTCTTGCTGAAACAAAAGACACGACTGTGCAGCACTTTAAAGACTAAAGAAGATGGTTTATTAGGTGTCAAGAATCAGAGGGGTCGCCGTGTTAGTCTGAATCTGCAAAAGCGGCGAGCAGTCCTGTGGCACCTTATAGACTAACTGAAGTGTTGGAGCATAAGCTTTCGTGGGCAAAGACCCACTTCGTCACATGCATGTAGTGGAAATTTCCAGAGGCAGGTATAACTTGATCTGAGGAAGTGGGTCTGGCCCACGAAAGCTCATCACCTAATAAACCATCTTGTTAGTCTTTTAAGTGCTACATAGTCCTGTCTTTTGTTTCCTCAGATGTGAGGATCTGCCTCTTGTCCTGTCTCCTCAGGAAGTTCCCCAGCTCTTTTAGTTTGTTGGGGGCATTTTCCTCCTTTACCTTAAGGAAAAGAAGGGGAGAAAGGCGAGATAGAGAAGTGCTCTACTGAATGTGTCTATGGATGGGTTTTGTTTTTTTTAAATAATCACTTTGGTTTTCCTGCTTAATATCTCAGTTATAGTGGTTGCCTGATAAATATTTCCGAAGGTACTGGAGCTGAATCATTCAAATAACTTCTGCCCTTGGAAAAAACAGGGTGGTGGTTAGTAACCAGGGAAACACCCACTCTCACTTGCTACTAGTCCTAAGGTATTGTGGCGTGTAAATCAGTGTTTCTCAACCTTTTTATTATAAAGTACCTCTTTATATACGAAACAAAAAACAGGACTTATGTAGCACTTTAAAGACTAACAAGATGGTTTATTAGGTGATGAGCTTTCGTGGGACAGACCCACTTCCTCAGATCATATATGGTTGTGACAATTTTCTTCCACTATTTGGTCTGAGGAAGTGGGTCTTGCCCACGAAAGCTCATCATCTAATAAACCATCGTGTTAGTCTTTAAAGTGCTACATAGTCCTGTCTTTTGTTTCAGCTACACCAGACTAACACGGCTACATTTCTATCACCCTTTATATATATATGAGAGTACCCCCAGTACCTTCAGCTCTCTCATTTTTTTCTACCATTGCAACACACTTGTTTAAACAACTTAATTGTAGCTGGGTGGGCGATTAAATTTTTGGGTGTAAGAAGTAGAAAAATACAGCACTGTAAAACTTAAAACAAAATTTCAGTTTTCTCCAAATTTAAGTTGTGTTGATGTACCTCCCCCCCCCCCCCCCCCAAGACTTCTCTTGAGTACCCTGAAGGGTATTCAAAACACTGGTGTAAATGACAAGCTAAATCCCTGTTAACTGGTATGTAATTCTTTGACCTGCACAAGTCTGGTGTCCATCTTGCATTTGTCATTTTTAATTGGAGAAGCTAAACAATGAAATGAAATCTACAGAAATGATTCCTTTTTAAAAGATCCTGTGTGATTTTCATACCATTTTCATGGCTGTCATTTTGAGGCTTCATCCTGTATTTGGGGTCTCATAAGCTGTGATGCTTAGATGTGGGGACAGCTGTAGTAATCTAGTAGTCACTCAAACACATCAACATGAAAGTGATTAATTAGCTTGCCTGCCACCCCCTCTTATTCTGGAGGAGAGGCAAGAACTGCTTCTTCTAGATGTATACGATCAGTTTTTATTGCCCTCCGTCAAAATGGATTCCAGCTGTGATCTTTGCAATAATGGATTCACTTTTTAAAGGCCATCTGTATATTAGTGTGTCAAAATGTATAATGTGTGAATGGGGACGTTGCAGGATCATTGAAAACTACCGTTGCTTTAAGCTGTTTTACAGCCTGTCCAGAGCAGTGCTGGGGAACTCCTTTTGCATCTTGGAGACACATTTAGTCCTCATCTCTTAAGTATTTATAATGATTCTCATCCAGGAAGCAACATTGCTTTTTAGTGGCTGGGGAGGGGAAAGTATCCACATGATGAACATATGCTGTCTGTGATACAATCCCATTTCAGGCTAGAGATGTTAAATATCAGTCAATTGAATAGTCAATTAACCTCATGAATTCTTATTGGTTACTTGACTGCTCGGCCTCACCCTCAGGGACTATCAGCAGCCACTGCTCCCCCACTTCCAAGCAGCCCCCTGCCACTCCACATTGCTGCCGCTGTATCAGAGGCAGCAGCGTAGGGTGCCAGGTGGAAGCTGGTCTGCGAGGGGAGCCAGTTTAAAAACCAGTTCACCTCATGGACCGGCTGCTGTAGCCCCACGCTGCTGCCTCTGATACAGAAGCAGCAGCAAGGGGTGGCAGCATCCCATGTCTGGGGGCAGTGGGGTGGTGTTTCTGAGCTCCAGGATCTGTCATGAGCTGGCCAGCCTGTTAAAAAATGTACTGGCAGGGGGGGGAGGAGAAATGTATGTAGTCTATAGCATTAATTGGTTAATCGACTACACTATTACATCCCTATTTCAGGCCCAGTACTCTAATCTTTATGTAAAGAGCCTTACTTTAGGACTCCTCAGTAGTAAAGACCAGCTTTTCAGTTTTCTGCCAAAATGATTAGTTCTAGTTCTCTTGCACGTGTTTTGTGTAAAGTCAAGGAATACAACACAAATGGCTTGGGGTCCTAATGATTAGGTGGAGAGAGACAATCACTGAAAGCTAGGTGGAATGGGCTAGAGCTAATTTCATATTTTGAAATGGGGATAGAGCTGTAGCTTATTAAACACCTGAGGTAGGATCAAATATTATTTTAAAATAATTACAATTTCAGTTTATTTTGTCGAATTATCTAAATTCCATGTACATGAATCAAAGGATTTTCTCCCTGGGCTAGCCTAATTTGTCAAATGATCTAAATTCCATGTACATGACTCAAAGGATTTTCTCCCTGGGCTAGCCTAATATAATGTGCAAATTAGGGATGTAAAGCGGGGGTTCTCAAACTTGTGATACCGCGACCCCCCCTCTAAGTTGCTTGCGACCTTCCAGGGGGTCAGGACCCACAGTTTGAGAAATGCTGATGTAAAGGGTTAACCGGCAACCATCAGCCTTACTGGGGTAACTGGTCAACCAGTCAACCGGCAGGCCAGGTTGGAGCAGGCCCCCTGCCCGCAAGATCCCATTTAACCAGTTAACTTTTTAACTGGGATTTTATATTCTTAGTGCAAATAGTCAGGGTTTTTTTGCATCAAAGTTCAGTGAAAAGCTGCACAGAATTAAATGCTTTTGTGGTGGGATGTGTTGTAAATTCTCCACTGTAGAGTAAGAAACATACCTGGGAATTTTGATCAATTCCAGCCAAATACTTTCCAGCCAAATACTTTCTGGCTGTAGTATGTAAGAACTCAAGATCAGTTCTAAATGCAGTGAAATGAGATGCTAAGTGAGTGAAATATTCTTGCATGATCCTTTTCGCAGTCATGAAACTTTCAGTTTGAATATTCTGTAATCAAAACCAGCCTTGAGAGGTAGAGGTAAATGAAAGAAGGTAAACAAAGCTGCCCAGGAGAGGAGGCGTTACAGTTGGAATGCACAGCAGAATCTGAAAACAAGTTTACTTCTATTCTAGTAGCATCTAAAGGCCCACTTAGTGCTTTCATTGTGCAGAGAAACAAGAACCAGTCCCTGTGCCGTGTGTAGCTGGCAAGAGCTAGATAAACAAGGCAGATAAAGGTTGGGTGAAAAGTAGTATTGTCCCCATTTTACAGATGGGCTACAGACATTATTGATTTGTTCATGGTCGCACAAAGAGTCTGTGGCAGAACTGGAAACTGTCCCAATTGCTTAAGCATAGGACTAGCTTTCTCCTAAAAGCAAGCTTGGGAGGAGGTAACTTTAGAAACATTATTTTAGTTCACTTTTTTTCTTAAAACAAGATCAGAGTGTACACAGTGCTTCAGAAGCCTCCTGGGTGCAGCCCATTGCTTTGAATCAGCTACCATGGTTACAAACAGGAAAGTAATGGTTCCCATGAAGAGATTTTTAACTCCTTCCATAAGAGCGGCATTGCAGGAGCAGGAGGACTGTTCTGTCACATGCAACAGGGGTTGAATAACTCTGCTCATTAGAATCATCTGCTGTTTGGCTAACCTTTAGAGTTGCTTCTAACCAAGATAATGTATTAATAGCTTATATAGTAAGCTGGGAGGAGGGGGGCAGGGCAGGGTCTCTCTCTGTTACATGCATGTGTTGTGCCTAACATAATGGGGCTTTAATCCTTGTTTGGGGCCTCTAGGCATGACTCCAGTGCAAATATTGCATCTGTTTTTAGAGAGAGGGATTTAAGCTGGTTATTTCCCTTCATGGCTTTCAATACACTCATCTTCCCTTTAGTTTAAGGACCCGCAATGCATAGATCAGGACCCTATGGTGATAAGCGCTGTACAAACACAAAAGACAGTTCCTTCCTCAAGGAGAAGTGTACTTCATTCCTTCTTGTGATATCTGTCCCCTTGCTTCCTGCAGCTGTTAAGAGATGCAGCTGTTGTTGGTAGGGATGTTAACCGGTACCCAGGGAGCAGCCTGTCCCCTGCCGCAGGCTATGGGCTGCTCCAGCCCCGCCAAGCCCCTGAACAGGGCTGCTAGCTCCCAGCCCATGCAGCCCACATGGCCCTACCAGTCCTGTTTAATCAGTTAACCAATTAAACTTAACATTTAACTAATTAAATGGGATTTTATATCCCTAGTTGTCAGGAGTTAACTCGATCTGGTATGCTGCTTAGTTGATTACTGTAATGCTCCTTACTTTGCATTTAAGACGGACAACGCTCCATCCATATGGCATTAGTTTAGTTAACAGGAGTAAAGATCTCTTCAGAGCAGCTGCTGCTATGCTGGAACACTTCCTGTGAGGCAGTGCTACTGTTGGTCAAGTGTGTTACTCTGGCTCTGCTGTGAAGTCTGAACCAGCCAGGCAGCTGCTCAAGAACTTGGGAGTTCGTTGTTGTGGGAGTCACTGGGCAGTGTAGGTTTTGTCTGTGCTGAGGGTTTTATCCACTGGAGTAGCTATGCTAGAGTAGGCACCTAGAGTGAGCAGTGGGTAGTGAACTGCACTGGTAAATTCCATCTGACAGGTTTACACTACATATGTTCTAGGGAGGGTTGCTTAAGTGTAGCCACTTTGAGAACTCCGCTCATTTTAATGAGTAAACGCCCTTTGTGGAACAGCTATAATGTATTAGGTGGAAGGTTAATGGCTGCATTGCAAGGTTTTTCAGGCCCTAATAACACCAGTGTTGGCATTAAGGATGCATTTTGACCATTGAGGTTTTGTTTTAGGTAGATGGCTGCTTGCTACAAGATGGGCACATTAGTTCTATGCCACCTACTCCCCTTGCTTTACTGAGTACACAGTGATTGTGTTTTAGTTACAGGTCTGTCTCTAAGCAAAACTCAAAGATGCGGTCAAGTCCAAATTGGCCCAGATCTTTGGCAAAGTGAAACCAAAATAAATGCTTTACTGTTGATTAATCTTTGCAACTCAATGGTAACAGCATTGTATTAGTGTGTATGAGTCAAGAAAGCAAAGCTGCTTGTATTGAAAAATGAAAATGGCTGATCTGCTTTCAAGCTGAGGTACAAAAGAGTATGCAGCATAAATTAGGTTAACAGATTAAAACACATCTAAGAGCACTGATTTTCTTTAAATGATTAACTTGACATTTGCCCCTTTGTAATCCATCACTATGCCTCTTAAGAAGTGACTTCCTCAGTTTCCTGTCTTAATCTTAAACATGAGACCTAACTGCATATCTACAGTTAACTAGTTTTTTTTTAAAGGGGTTCAAAATGGATGTAGATACAGCTGAGCCTTTCACTGGAGATAAGCCACTTAGGCTGGAGAAATATAGGTGAGACATACACATAGGACTGTGGAATTTGTCTTAAAACCAGTATTTATTCTGAATATTTTATAATTCACTTAATAGCTGTAGCTAATATACTTCAAGATGTTAAAATGCCCAGCCTTACTGATGTGTGCAATACCCTTGAACTTTTTGCTCATCTTTTTAAATTCTCTACTTGCTCCCCTGTTTAATCAAAGCTGTCTTCTTTCATTGTAGGCAGATTTTTTGAAAGGATTACCAGTCTACAACAAAAGCAACTTCAGTAGATTTCATGCGGACTCTGTATGTAAAGCATCGGTGAGTATTGTATCTAAAGCCAATCTCTCAGGAGAAGGTCCGTTTGCAGTGAAGCCTTTCAGAGTTCCAGAGGAAATGGTGCTTCAGACAGCCTCTAACTGGGCCTTAGGTTTCTTGAAATAAGTTGTTGCTGATATTGTCACAAGCGGCAACTGTTTATTGGAGGGTGGAATCCCAGGTGGGGAGATTTTCCAGATAGAGTTGACGTCCTTCAGAAAAATGCAATTTCAGCAGAGCCAAAGCTGCGTGACATTCCTTTCCCCAGTCTTACATTCTTTCTTTAGCATTGCCACTGGGTTGCATGGATGATAAATGGACCTTTTTCTACATGTGAAAGAATTCAGAGCTGCATAGGATAGTGAGGCAGTGTTGTTTGCTGCGTTGCCACAATTTTATAGCGTTGCAATTGAAATAAACTAGCTGTTATGACTGGGACCGTTCAGTGGCCCTAGTTCTTTGTGGAAGTTTTGGGGCAGAGGGGGGGCTTTTCCTCTGCTCTGTAACAATTCTAATTCTTCTACAGAATAGAAGACCATCAGTGTATCTTCCCACAAGGAGCGGGGGGGGCTTTTCCTCTTCTCTGTAACAATTCTAATTCTTCTATAGAACAGAAGACCATCAGTGTATCTTCCCACAAGGGAGTATCCTTCTGAACAAAGTAAGTACGCTCCTCTTATTGTTTGAGGTTTCAGATAATGTTTTCTAAGCGTACGTTCTGTGGTTGAGTACATGCCAGATTTTTAATAGTTATCTTACTTGATATTTTTGTGGGATTCAAGGGGCTTCAAAGAGGACAGCTGCTTAACTTTTGCCATGGCTTTTGCACAGCTTTTTCTTTATCCTTATTGAAATGACAGCGGTGCTGTCCGTCCTCTTTAAAAGGAGCATAACCTGTTTCGAAGTCATGGCCACTATAGTTGGTTTTAAATGTTATCTTTTAGAAATGCCTTCAGAGTGTTTTCTCTTTCTTCAACAGTCATAGTAACAGAAAAGACAAATATACTATTGCGTTACCTACATCAGCAATGGGACAAAAAGGTAGGACTTTTAAAATGTAAAACTTGTATCTGGTTTTAAAGTGCACTTTGTTTTGATTGCTTCCACCAACGCCTGTAATTTAGTCATGACAAATACTTAGATATTATTAAGTGGAAGACTGAGCCAACCTGGATTTCTCAGTTCTACCAGAAATTGCTTGTGGCAAGACATTTTCATTCTTCATATTCTAGAGAGAGCAAAGATGGTCCAATGACAAAGACATAACCTAGAATTGGGGAGCCTCAGTATGATTTTTGCCACAAACTTCTTATGTGACTTTGGCAAGTCACTTGGCATCTTTGTGCCTCAGTTCCCCATCTGTAAAATAAAAATTATTTTTGGGTGGCACACTGTACACCAGTCCTTGATTAGGCTGGTAGTTAATACAGGAGACTGGGAGCCACGCCTCTGGGAGTTTTTTTCTGGCTCTTCTTTTGACACACTGCGTGCCTTTGAATGTATCATTTCCAGGGACTCACCTGTAAAATCACAGATTTTGCTTCCCTCTCAGGGTCACATTAACAGAACATTTTCTGAAACATATCTACAATGTTAAATGAGGAATTACTGATCGTGTTAAGTGAAAACATGTTATGCGGGGTCAATTTTCCCATTGAAAATAATGGAAAAGGTTGGGGTTGCGTTTCAAGCGGTCATGTCTGTTGGGACCAGGACATAAGGTTGGGGGAGAAAGGGGACTGGGTTACAGCAGGGACGGGAGGTGTTTGGCTCTGGGGAAAGGAAGGGGAGGAGAAGGGAGGGGGATTGGGTTGGGAGTATGCCGGGACCCGCACTGCATCCGGCGAGGGGGGGATCTCCGGGGAACTGCGCGGCGAGCAGCGAACCCTCCGCCACTTTGCAGGGAGGCGGGGGAAGCTCCACACAGCTGCTGGCAACGGGCCTGCTGGGCAAATCGTGTTATTCCAGGGACAGTTGTGTAATTCAAAAAATGTTCCCTAAAAAAAAAATCGTGCTATCGTGAAAACGTGTTAAGCGGGCACGTGTTAAATGAGGAATGACTGTACATGCCAGGTATACATGTGTCATTAAAAAGTTCCTAGCCCGTACCCTGCCTTAGACCTTGTGCTCTATAGGCATAAATGAGTACAGCACAAGGTGTGCACAGCGAGGAATTGCCATCGCCAGCATATCTTTGCTCTGGGAAGTTACTTCCCAATCTGTGTGTTGGGCTGTTCCAGAGGTAGAGCAGCAGCAAAGAGGTAGGGGCGGGAGTGGGAGAACGAGAGTGTGACCACATGTTGGCGTTTCCCCGTCTCCTGCACCCCTGTAGTGGCATGAACAGACTCCACTAGCCAGTAGAATAGAGGGAGTTTATTGCTTCTCCAAGATACAGCACAGATGCAATCTGGCTACAGGAACTGGGGCTAGGAGACCTCAAGGGTGCCCCTCCCCCTTGAGATGGGGAGTAGCTGGGCCCTACAATCCCAGCCCCCTCCTTAGCCTTTTCTCCCCTGCTTCCCAGACAGAAACTGACTCTCTCTTCCAGCCCTGCTCCCTAGACAGGGGTTGTTCTCCACCTTCCTCTTTGTGATAGAAATGTAGCCGTGTTAGTCCGGGGTAGCTGAAGCAAAATGCAGGACAATGTAGCACTTTAAAGACTAACAAGATGGTTTATTAGGTGATGAGCTTTCGTGGGCCAGACCCACTTCCTCTTTGTCTCTGTCCCTGGGAGGCAACCTGTCGGACAGGTTGTGAGACCCTTGCCTAGTGACTCATCTGCTGTCCTGTTGAGCCGTGCTACATATAGTGGAGGCTACCCACTGCCCAAGCCCAGCAACCAGCAAGGCACCACCATAGCACACTGGGTTATAGAGCAGACAGCTCCCCCCACTACGTCACAGGGAGAAACTGAGAGAAGTTTGGGCAGAACATTGTCTGTTAGCAGCCCTGCAGGGGCAGGAGAGCATTTTATAGGGAAAACTCAGTCTCTAACGTGGTTTAGCTGTGTAGGACTCTCGACTTTATCAGAAGATGCCTCTGCTAGTTCCTATACATCAGCATCTTTCCTCCTAAAGACCGTTACCGACGACTTATGCAAGATGTATCCTGCAGTACAGAAATGTAGCCATCTCTGGAGTGGAATGCTGTGGAGGGTTTCATTGATGTGCCTTTCTATTTGCTTCAATCAGAATGCAGCAAAGAAGAGAGATCAAGAGCAAGTGGAAATAGAAGGTGAGAATTCGGCACCGCCACGGAAAATTGCTCGGACAGACAGCCAGGACATGAATGAGGACACTTAAACTCTCTCCTACACTATTTTGCAGGCGCTTCCTGTTTTTTGTCTCAAAATGTGTAAATTTTCGCTCCCCCCTTCTCCTTGCTCCACTATGCAGCCCAAACCACTTCTGACTTCATAGGAGCCAATGTATTTATTTTTTTCTTCCGTTTTTATTTATGCTGTAAAACGTATGGAGCGATCAATGGTGAAACAAGTCAGCAAATGATGTAGTATAACTTCAGACCCTTTTAAAAAAAATGATCACTTTTCCAGGTTTCATAAAACCTGTTGCTTAATCAGCCCTCTTTGCCCTGGAAGCCTGGGTAGGGGATATGAATTTACAGCATGCAAATGCCTGTGGTACAGGCTTTCTCATCCATACAGTCACTGGTCCGTTACAGTTACCAACTCTGTATAGCCTGTATCCAATCTACCAGTAATTGTGGGGTGGGGGGAACCTCAGCCACTCTGAAATGTTGATCCTAAAATCAGCGGCGTACTGGGGAATCCTGGGGACCCTTTCGGGTTGTGCTGATCTTATCAAATGTGGTCAGCTCGATAGAACAGTTGTGGGGTTTTTGTTCAGCAACGTATGTTGTCACGTAAATCAGTGGTCATGGAGAATTCAAGGGACAGGCGTGTTACTTTGGTTGCTCTTACATTTTAACAGCCTTTTGGTCTTGAACGAACTGGTATGTGCAACTTCTCCATTGGAATAAAAAGGATACTTTTATCCTTCTGAGTATTTGATCGACAGTGTCTTTAAAATGGCAGCAGGTGGAATGGAATTGGGTAGCTCTCCCTAGCAAACCTGTTGGTTAAATTTGAAAATCAAATTGGGTACAGGTTGGCCTCTGGCTATTTCCTTTCTCTCAACCAGTGATTCTGGAAAAAAATCGTACATTAGATGACTGGAGCTGAGTCCACGACTTTTGGATGCAAAGTAGCTGAACAAAATGAGCTTCCATGGTCTCTTTCGTTTGGACAGTGACAGTTCAGTGCCTGTCACCTATAATCCAGTCCTGACTAGCTTCAGTAGGAGCCAAATACAAAACCGTCCAGATGTCTGAGAGGAATTAAAGGAAACCACTGTAGTTGACTGAAGGTGCGTGTCTCGCGATTGCCTGTCCATTCTGCTTTTCAGTCTACAGTGTTTGATAGGTTGAACTTTAGATAACTTTACGTTGGTCTTGTCCCTGCATCTCTGCTCATCTCCGAACTGAGTCCGGAAGCCATGTGAATCTTTTTCTAGAAAACCATGGATAAAGCCTCGGTCTCTAGGGAATTTGACCACGGTGGCTAAACTCGGATGAAAGACCTGTGACGACAGAGCTCATGCTGCCACCTTCCCTACTGTGTCCAGACCTGTGGACAACTTATTCAAAGTAAAAGCATGATGGGAGTGAAAGCCATCAGCAGCACGGTTTTTTACACAAGAGGATTTTGTGAGGAGCAGACTTCACTTATTGCTGCCTCTTTATAAGTACGTACGAGATGCTAAGCTCTGATTCTAATATTCAGTTCATCTCACTTCTTTTAGTGACGCCTGTTAAGTTGTTTAACCAGCCCTTAAAATAGGGACGTTTTGTGCCTCCAGATTCCAAGGTAAAAATACCAGCTGGGTTGGTCAAGACTGAAGTAGGGTTTTTGCAATTTTGTTTGATCTACTGGCAATCACAACTTAACAAGAACTTTTCTCGGAGCTGTGCTGCCCAAAAAGATGCTGGCATATGAAGTGCCAGAAACAAACAGAGAAGAGGGTTAGCTGCAAGAGCATGTTAAAAGGTTTGGAAGATACCAAAGGAAGAAATGGGTGGTGTTCTGCTGATATGTAACCAGTGCTGTGTGTGTAGCTACATTTGAGAGTTCCAGACTCAGATTGATGTTTGTCAAGTGTTTAGCTCCTTACCAATAGAGAGTTTGGAGCTTTGCTGATCTTTCCACTACAGCGAGCGAGGTACCATTAAAGAATTGTCACATCCTGGCCTACACCTTCATCTCTGTTCCCCTTACAGTAAATATAACCTTGCTGGTAACAGAGCCTTTGACATCTTACAAATAAGGATTTTTTTGTTTGTTAAAAATCTAGTTCACGCACGTAGAAAAAAATTGTATTTGTCAACCGGAAAAATATAGTTGCCTTTAATTTCCTGAGAGCAAGTCTGAAGTTGTGTGTGTGTGGGGGGGGCTGTACATAAACTCGAGTGTCCTTTCAGTCAAACGGTTGCACTTTGCTTTTGATGTTGGCTGTCCACGAGCAGCATGGATTTCCGACACTAACAGGGCATGGATGCATTTCACTGAAAGTTTTGATTGGCAAGCTGAGTGAGATTAGATAATTTAGTCTGATCTGAAAGCCGCCGCCTCCTACCATCCAGTTTCCATGCTACTAATGGCTTGAAAATGCCTCCCTCAAACTGCTTCATGTTCAAAATGTTGGCACTGCTGTTTTAGTTACTCGTATCAGGTTCGTGTTGCATATGGAAACTCCTTCCCAATCGATTGTCTGGTGTTTTAGGTACATCTTCCGTGAAAGATCCAGAACTTCTCCAGCAGTGTCCAGTTTGTATAATATGTAGTTCTCCTGCTTTCTGACTATCCTGTGACACAGTGAATGGGATTTGCTGACCCATCATGTGTGGTTTTGTATGTCAGCATAGCAGTATTTTTATTGTCTAGTATCGCACACACTTTTTATGAAATCTTAGAAGCTTGTCAAAGATCAGAATAGAATTCTTGGAGTGAATTGTGCGACCTTTAGCAGAAATTGGAGCTGCAGGAACATATTTCATGGTTAATTTCAATGAGAAATGCAGAGGATGGTGAACCCTGGGAATAGCCTAGCGAGTATCTATCCTCCCATGTAGTGCTATCCACTAGAGGAGAAAGCATGTGCCATCTCTTTAGTAGCCCCCTGAGACCGATTGGCTGTGATGGGTAAATCTAAGCTCTTTCATTTGTAGACTTCGTCTTTTTTAAAAACAGACTGGCTGTCGTGGGTGCAATCACAGGATTAGTGGCTGACTTAAGGCCAAACCAAAGATGTCTTAAACTAACTCCAGATATCCAGTGTTGACTTCAAAGGATTTATATTCTTGTCCCCTCTCTGACTTCTAAACAACTTTATAAGGTATTGAAGTTTTGAAAGGGAAGTTGTTCAGTTTTTTTTTTTTTTTTAAGAATAAACCTTGGTGCATGGTCCAGTCAGGTGGTCACATCTGATCTGCAAAGGCCCTATTTATTTGTCTTGGTGGCTAGCTCTTAAGACGTGCCTGTCTTATCTGTGTAAATTCAGTTTGTTCAGCGGGTCAAGCCATTCCCTTAAGCAAACAAAGCAATA